TGGTGTGGTACCCTCAGTAGGCTCAGGTCTCAAACCCCTGAAGTCCCCCCCCCCCCCACATACACGCAAACCTACAAATGGGACCATACAAGAATATTTGAGCGTAAGGGTGTTGTTAATTAGAAAGGGCGTGAACTGAGCTGACACTATATGCAAAGACAGTGAGGAATGTAATCATACACTAAACTGAACATGTTCTGTCTCCTTAAATACCGTTTTCTGACCATGTGCTGCCTTTCAGTGAAAGACCTGTGGGTGTGAGTTCAACGATTTCAAAAAAGTCAAAAGATGACATTCTCTAGAGACTGAACCACGTGCTCTCTCTTTCTCTTTTTCTCTCTCTGTCTCTCCCTCCTTCATTTTCTCTCCTTCTGTGTGAAGGCATCTCTTGACCTTCATCTTTACCATGTCGTGACGCCCCAGTGTACGCACAGGGGCGAGGCCGGGGCGTTTCGTGTGCACAGGAGGGCGGGTGCCCTGGGATGGAGCGAGCTCGGGTGTGTCCTGGGCGATAAGGAAGGGCCACATTCCACGCTCATGGCTTAACAAAGAGGGTTCTGCCCAGCATGGCATTGCCTCTGCTGGCCAGGGGTGGATAGTGAGGCTTTCAGAGCAGCCTGTATGACACCAAACTGTCACTGAATGGCCCTCTTTTGACTCAGTGCTGAGGCATGTTTACCAGGGTCTCACTTGCCACTATCCTCTACATGTTTACCAAATCATAAATAGAAGCAGCTTAGGAACAGTGCCACAGCACAGCTGAAAAGTAATAAAAATATCCCAGATTGTTTATTATTTTCATTTAACGCTCTGAATCCTAAAAAATGTTTTGTGGTTGTGAACTCGCATGGAAAGATTTCGGGAGGTCTCTTTTTTTCAAAGAGCAGATGCGGGATCATGTCAAAAACAAGCTGAAATCCCCTGAATCCATTCTTACCAAATAATGGGGGGGGGGGGGTGTTTTTAGCAGACTTACCGTAAAGGCTCCGCCCCCTGCCACATGCATGCCGATCGCACACAGATGCAGATAGCGAGTGGATTAAAACATGTTTATCGCCACCAGCTTCTGAAGAAATCCGCTGACCAGGGAGTTCTGGAGCCGGGCCAAACCAAACTGACTAACAAAAATCTGCGTTTCCTTGTTTCCTTTTGAAGGACGTGATAATGGATGATTTGTCGGATTTGGAGAAAAGCATGAAAAAACCGACAAAGGGCCATTTTCTGTTTAGCTACATGTCAGCCAAGCATTGTGCTACTATGTGTTGAGTTTGAGAAACTTCCTCGACTTCCATGTTGAGTTTGAGAACCTTTCTTGATCTCCTAGTTGAGTTTAAGAACCTTCCAGAGAACCTTTTTCAACCTCAACTTTCACCATCCAGGTGAAGCAATCTCTGACCATCACTAATTGTCAAGAATCCATACATACAGCACACAAAGCGAGTAATTAGCACTGAGGATGTTATCTGGTTTAGGTTCTGTGGTTCTTTGCTCAAGTTTCCCCTGGGATCTGAACCTTTAGGTTATACCTCTAAGTAGCATGCTAGCATGTTTATGTTATGGGAACTTGTGCAACTGCTAGCCTGCCTGAATATGCATAAGGCTCATGTAACATTGCCATTCTAGCCTCAGTCGTGAGGGAGACACAATTCCCTTCGTACTGGTAAAGCTCTAGTCGTTCCGTTTTCATCGTTCCAACCCCGAGACCTTGAATCCAACACTCACAAATGTGTGACATCATCGCCGAGTGGCGGTGGGGGTTTAGGATGTGGGATGTCAGTCTGTGGCCCTCCTCCCCATCTGAGTGACGTGTCTCTCTGCAGCCAGGCCCCCCGTCTGCCCAAAGCCGGAGAGACCATCCACGGTCATGGGTTCTTCATCGGATTTGGTGGGAAGGGTGCCAACCAGTGTGTCCAGGCAGCACGCCTAGGGACCAAGACGGCCATGGTGTGTAAGGTACAGAGCACCGCACAGAACCTCGCACCGGACCTCTGAGTCGTGTTTATTTAGCAAATGTATGCCACATTTCAACCTGTCTGCGCGACTTCAGTATTTACTGCTGTGAAACTCGGAGCTGCAATCAGCACACTGGGGTCCTGAGGCACAGGAAGTGGGGCTGTCCGGTCCTTGCCCGAATTCTCCATGAAACATGCGTCCCACACCCGACCACAAGTACCCCGAACCTCGTGTTGGCTGACAGCGAGTGTCAGCACAGCGCCTTGGCAAGACGTTCGTCCGCTTGGTGGGGAACAATGGAGGGAGATGGGAGAAGATAAAAGCATGGTGCAGGTTCCTGGGAGCGAAGAGAGCGATCGATAAGGGAAGTAGAGACGGCGAGGGCTGCCGGGGAGCCGCCGTGAGGCCGCGCTTCAAAGACGCTAGGCGGGGGGAGGACGGTCCTCTCGCCTGGCCCTCCGGAAAGCCCGGCTTTGGCACGGAGAGCGCATCCTTTGATCACGCGATCCGGGTCCGTGTTGAGAAGCGAGGGATGAAAGCGGACCCCGGGGGCGGAGGACGTCGCAGGGAGGGGGCGGACCGGGAGATGGGGGTCACTGCTTCCTGGAGGCATTGCTCGACTTGTGCCGCACTGGCACGGGAGGGAACGTGACCCCACAGAGTGCCGAGTTGACGGCAGTGCGCTTAGTTCAGCATGACCCCGCTGGAGCTAGCGTTTCGCTGTTTGCGGGGCCCACATGCCCACTTTCCCGCGACCTCTCCCCCTCCCCCAACATTTATTCCTGTTTCACTCTCCCAGGTTGGGAAGGACTTCTTTGGAGATAACTACATCCAGAATTTCAAGAATAACGGCATCTCCACAGGTATGGCCTGACTTATGAGGAGCACACAGATCCCACACCGCTCCAGAACAGTCTGCCCACTCTCGTATCATGACGTCTGACCCCTTTCTCTGCCCCCCCCACCACCCCACAGAATTTGTCAGGCAAACAGAGCAGGCAGCCACAGGTGCTGCCACCATTATTGTGAACGATGAAGGTAAGGCCTCGGCGTTGTCCGAAAGGCAACGTACGCGAATGTGTTCTCCTACGTTTCGGGGACCAGATTTCCCCACTGTGTGATAAAAGCCTGTACCTTTTTACCGTGTGGGGACATCCCCCAAGGATACCCTCAACTTTATAAAAATCTGTGACTGCAATCAAAAAACTAAAAAGTCTTGTATTTTGTTTGGTTATCTTTGGTCTGGGTATTTATGGACTGGGTAGGGGTTAAAGTCATCATGTTGGGATTAGGGTTTGAAATGATTGGAGAGTCCCCACAAAGATATGAATACAATCAGATGTTTGTGTGTGTGTGTGTTCAACCTTGCTTTTCGGTTGTGCCTACTGGCCCGATGACATCACCTCCCCGTGCCTTTTTGGATCAGGCTAATTAAGACACAGCCCACGCCCAGGTTTTCCCACAGTGCCTTTCGGCTGGGCGCCAGTCCAAAAGGAGAAGCCTTTCTGGCTGCCGTTGAATGGGTACCCAATCAGGAAGGGTCCCCCAAAATGGCGGAAGGTTCTGGAGCCCTAAGCAAGAGTACGCTGTGCTCCCCCGCCCCCATTTCCTCTTTGTGAGTGACCTGAGTGGGTGGCAGCGGGTGACGTACGAGCTGCCTGTTAGTGAGAGAATGAGGAAGCAACAGCAGGGACAAGATGTGCGAACATCGAAGCAGGCAGCCAATCAGTGCGGAGATCGATTGGCAAAAGCTGACGCGTGTCCTGAGCTGGTGCTGTGTGTGTGTGTGTGTGTACGCTTGGGCAGTGAGGACTCACCAGTGTGTTTGTGACCACAACCCACGTCTGCAGGTGAGAACGCCATTGTTATCGTCGCTGGGGCCAACCTGCTGCTGGGAGAGGAGGAGCTGCAGTGGGTGGAGCCGGCACTGGGTGGGGCAAAGGTCCTGGTTTGCCAGCTGGAAATCGAGCCGGACGTCACTCTCCTGGCACTCCGCATGGCACGGGACAGGGGGGGTGAGTCTGCTCCTGTTGCCCAGCAATCTCCACCGGGTGACCCACTGCACAGCTGCAGGAGCCTGGCTTAGGTTGCCTCTGATTGGCTGGCTCGGTGCTCAATCACTTGCTGGGTAGGTGTTGCTGAAGCAAGCCCCTCCCTTTCATTCCTCATTCATTATATGAAGCCTGGTTAAATAAATGCACATGCATCAGCAGAGCGAATCCTTAAAGCAGTTTTTGATTAAAATGAATGAATATTAAACAGCACAAACAGATTAGAGAAGATGCCTGTCGACGCGGCGCATGACGCACTAGGGAAGCGGGGGCTGTGCTGGTCGCTCTCCTCCGCGAATCCCTCCGTCACTGTGATCACCGGATCGCCAGTGACGTGGATGGGGGCCGTCCACAGATGGCCCCTTCAGATGGTGTGCATCCCCCCATGCGAGATGGAGGGGCAGGGGGGGGCACCTGGAGTTACGCATGTGGAGCTTGCTACTCAGTGAGGAAGGGGGGGGGCGGACTAAAGAACCAAAACAGCAGGACAAATGGGGGAGTGACACTTTTACCAGGAATAGAGAACTGGCCTGGTGCCCATTCTGAGGACCCCCCCCGGTGACAGGTTAACCCCCTCCTCCCTACACAGCTCCCTCTCATACCACACATTAGCACCCCCATGGCCCCTCCTTCTGCCGAGCCGGGGGGGGGGAGGGTGCGGCAGTAACAGCTCTCGTGACTCCCAGCCCTCCGTAGGTGACTCAGCGGTGACAGACCGAGCCAGCAGGCCCATGGCAGGCTCTCATGCACCCCCCCCTGCCCCCCCGGGGTTGGGTTCTGTCTGGGATGTGGAGACGCGACGTCATGCCTGGCCAGACGTGACTCAGCCCTGTACGGAGGCCTCCGGGTTTGAGGTCAGCCAGATGTTTCTGTGGGAACAAAACACCTGGACTAGTAACAGTCACACTCAAGGGTCCAACAGCTATTTCCTCCGGGACTGCTAGCTGAGACTTCGCCGAGATGCACCGGGCCGTGACCTCAGCTGTGTTTTTTGTGAAGTCGCGGCTTTTCGGTCCAGTCAGCAGCACGTCAGACACGTGGCCGAGTACACGCATGTACACACACATCAACATGTGGACTCCCAGGAAAGGTCTTCGAGCACCACGGACGGCTGAGATATGAATCACTCCAGCCCATGTGAATTATAATGTGTGCATATGTGTGTGGCCACAGGGCTGCGTGGGGGGATGGAGCTGGGGGGCCAGGGAACGGCTGCAGGTCCGAGAACTTGGGGTTGGAGCAGGGGGCATGACGAGGTGCTGGCCGCGCTTTAGGGAGGCACCCACAGAGGGCGCTCTCTGAAGTCCTGTTCTAAACTCCTCTGATTGACAGTTTGGTAAGATAAGTAAGGAGTAGGCAGAAGATGAGGAAGACCCAAGGGCCCAGATAGAGAGGGGCTCGATTGGGTTTTTTGCATCTCCCCCGTGAGGGGGTTTGAGCCGTACTCCTCAGCCCACAAAGCGTTATGCGCTCTCTCTGCCCTGACCCCAAGGAGTGACGCAGCCAGTGGGTGTATGTGCTCACACAAATAAACACACTGTAAGAACAGACACACAGCACAGAGGTAAACACACTGTAAGAACAGACACACAGCACAGAGTTAAACACACTGTAAGAACAGACACACAGCACAGAGTTAAACACACTGTAAGAACAGACACACAGCACAGAAGTAAACACACTGTT